ATAAAGATTGATATCCTAGGCAATAGTGAGCTGAAATGGACGGGTTTTGGCCATTTTGAATCAGATAACCATGTAATCTACTATGCCAGGAATGACAATTTGAAGAGGAATGGCATGGCATGCATTATCACAAAGAATGTTTCAAGATCTGTCCTGAAGTACAATGCTGTCAGTGATAGGATAATACCCATATGGCTATAGGGAAGACCCATTAATACTATGATTATTCAAATTTAGTCACCAAACACCAAAGCCAAAGGTGAGGAAATTGAATATTTTTATCAACTTCTGCAGTCTGAAATTGATCAAATATGCAGTCAAGATGTGTTAATTATCATTGGTGCCTGGAATACAAAAGTTGGAAATGAAGAATTACCAGTAGCGAAAATTTGGCCTTAGTGACAGAAATAATGCAGAGACTGCATGATAGAGTTTTGCAAGACCAGTGTCTTATTCATTGCAGATAGCTTTTTTCAACAACACAAATGGCAGCTATATATATGGACTTCACCAGATGGAGTACACAGGAATCAGATTGATACATCTGTGGCAAGAGGTGATGGAAAAGCTCAATATCGTCCAACCAAAACCAGGCCAGAAGCTGATTGTGGAACAGACCATCAACTGCTTATATGCAAGTTCAACTTGAAGTTGAAGACAATTAAAAAAAGTCCATGAGAGCCAAAATATGACCTTGAATATGTCCCTCCTGACTTGAGAGAGCATCTGAAGAATAGATTTGATGCATTGAACACCAGTGACCGAAACCAGAATAATTATGGGATGGCATCAAGAACATCATCCATGAAGAAAGCAAGAGGTTATTAAAGAAGATGAGAAAAGAAGAAAAGACCAAATTGTATAAAAGAAGAGACTCTGAGACTTGCCCTTGAGCAGAGAGTAGCTAAAGCCAATGGAAGAAATGACAAGATAAAAGAGCTGAACACACGATGTCAAAGAGCAGCTTGAGCAGACAAAGCCAATTACTATAATGAAATGTGCAAAGACCTAGAGTTAGAAAACCAAAAGGGAAGAACATGCTCGGCATTTCTCAAGCTGAAAGAATTGAGGAAAAAATCGAAGGCTTGAGTTGCAATATTGAAAGATTCAGCCCCAGGGTTACAGGTGAGGAGAGACAACTCAGGGACACCC